CCGGCGTGGAGCCCTGATGAATACCTAGGCACCCCTAGACGTCAGGGTGGGGCCGGGCCAAGGCCGGGCGGTGAGGCAGGCACAGGCCTGAAGAGAAGAGGAATTTTCAGATGTCGGCTTGGCATCTTAAGGGCCCTGCGTGGCTTTCTCAGAGGCTGACATATCGTACTGCGGGACCTCCATGAGCCTCAAAAACCTCTATGGGCCCCCTCACGCTTGGGGTAGGCTTCCTGAAGCATAAAATCTCTGAGTCTTGAGATGGGCCCATTAGACATGAACTGGGCCATCAATATACATGTGGTGAGTTGACCAATATCAAACATGATATCGGCTCAATCAGGATTGGGATAGGCCCTCTCAGACCCAGACCAGGCACGGAGTACGGACCCTCCCACACATAGGATGATCCTTTCATTCCTGGGATGAGTCTTCTCAGGCCTGAACTGGGCCCTCTCAGACCTGAAATGGGCCCCTCTCAGGCCTGAAATGGCCCTCTCAGGCCTGACATTAGCCCTCTCAGACCTGAAATGGCCCCTCTCAGGCCTCAAACAGGACCTCAAGGGCCTGAAATGGGCCCTCTCAGGCCTGACATTAGCCCTCTCAGACCTGAAATGGGCCCTCTCAGACCTGAAATGGGCCCCCTCAGCCCGGAAATGGTCCCTATCATGTCGAAAAAGGGCCCCCTCATACCGTAACTGGGCCATCTCAGATCTGAAATGGTGCCTCTTATGCCTGAAATGGGCCCCTCTCAGGCCTCAAACGGGCCCTCTCAGGCCTCAAACGGGCCCTCTCTGGCCTCAAACGGGCCCTCTCTGGCCTCAAACGGGCCCTCTCTGGCCTCAAACAGGCCCTCTAGGGCATGAAATGGGCCCTCTCAAGCCTGAAATGGGCCCCCTCAGGCCTGAACTGGCCCCTCTCAGGCCTGAAATGGGCCCCTTTCAGGCCTGAAATGGGCCCCTTTCAGGCCTGAAATGGGCCCTATCAAGCCTCAAACATGCCCTCTAGGGCCTGAAATGGACCCCTTCAGGCCTGAAATGGGCCCTCACAGGCATCAAATGGGCCCTCTCAGGCCTGAAATGGGCCCCTCTCAAGCCTCAAACAGGCCCTCTAGGGCCTGAAATGGGCCCTCTTAAGCTTCAACTGGGCCCTTTCAGGCCTGAAATGGGCCCTCACAGACCTGAAATGGGCGCTCTCAGGCCTGAAATGGCCCTCTCATGCCATGAAACGGGCCCTCCTATGCCTTGGATTAGGTTAATCGGGCCTTGGATGTACCCCCTTAAATCATAAAATGGGACTATAAATCCTAAAGGGGGGCTATCAGGCCTGAAAACTGTTTTTCAGTCCTATGACGGACCTTGACATTAGACTGATAAAAAATTGTCAGGCTGCATAACGTTACAGTTCGAATCAACGGTGGGCCCCTAGGATAAGAGACGGGGGTGAGATCTCACCCCTTTCACCCCCCCTGGCTGCGCCACTGACTAGGCATCCCTGAATCAGGGATGTTTTTAATCGAATCGAAAAAAGAATCGTTCAATAACTTTTTGGCTAAATCAAACGCGATCGGAAATCATTCCCTTTTTTATCCTCTGAATCAAAAGGAATCGAATCACCGATTTTTTTAAGGACTCGAACGGTGATTTAATAATTAAAAAAACAATCAGATGAATCAATGGTTGATTCAATCCAAAAAGGTGAATCAATAACCAGTCTGCAGGGAGGAAGCGTGCCTTTTTCAAACGAAAATGTGAAGGCAGGCCGCAGGGGTTTTCCGAAGACACTTGCGCCGGCCCTTTTAGAATCACAAAGGCCCCGAAATAGGTAAGTCCGCTTCTGAAGGTCTCTTTTCACCGCTCACGTGAGATTCCGATGACGAATCACGCCAGTCTCCATAACGGCCAGCAGGCCCCTGCTCCCAGGGGGCCTACGACTTACGAGTGCCCAACTGCATTCTGTACCACCTTAAACCGGCCTGAGGCCCCATGGTGAAAGACTTTCGCTAAGAGCCTAACACTGTTCTGAGTGTTAACATAAAACCCACTGTTCGGAAGTAAGCCAGCGCCCCCCCCCCCCCCCACAGGGCGCGTTCGGCTGAATGCGGAATAGCCCGGACATGGGCGTGGGTTAACGTGGCTTGGTGTCAAAGGTTATTTCCAGTGAAACGGGGATAAGATTTGCATCCGCACGGAAAAAAAAATGTAAGGTGAAGCATACCAAAAAGTTAGGAAGTTATGCCACGCTGTTGAAGAGCTGCGATCACAGTCGAGAAAATTGCTGTTATTTTAGCAGTCCTGACATCTTGATACCGTTAGGAAAACAGGCGAGTTGGCCTGTTGCCGTGCCGTTTGCCATTGCGGCGCGGCAGACGGCCGTCACGGGCAGTTAGCTGGGAGAGCCGTTCCGTCCAGTGCTGCAGGCCGGCCGTTTCCGCAGAACCCCTCGCCGACAGGCCTCCATTCGGGGCCCATGTGCGCGGCGCGGCCGTCTCCAGAAGGGGTCTGGTGTGCGGGGCCTCTCGGACATGGCTCACTGCTCCCATTTTTTCACAAATGGCGGCATCAAGGTCACTGACCTGGCCCCCAGCGGTAGTTGGAGCTCTGTGAGCAACAGGGACTCTGACACGGTTTTAAGATTGAGGGTCCCTGCACCCAAAGATCATTCTCTGATACATAAGGCCAGGTCACGAGCGAAAAACGGAGCATAACATTCTACGAGCATGCGTTGTTAGCTCAGTCGTTAGAGCGTTGGACTACGCGTGGAGAGAGCACGCGTCCCGGTTACAACAGTCCGGGTTCGAAGCGCGACGGGGGCTCGGTGTTCATGAGCCTCCTGACGGGCATGGTTGCGATTGGTGGCAGGCCGTAGCCAGTCGAAGGCAGTCAGGGGACCGGTTGTGCGCGGCCTTGCCCGTCTCTAAATCCTGCCATATATCAGGAATTGGGCGAACGGAAGGTAGAGGGCAGGGCCAACGCTACAAGCTCCGTTTAGCGGGGCTCTGTCCTTGCGAGTCTTTCCATTCAAAAGGTTCGAGCCAAATTTGTGTTTTGAAAAAATCCTCGCGCTTATCTAAGGTCGAACGGACCCCTTAGTTCTTTTTTTTACAAATAATTCGCGCAAAAAACGACAAATCGCGACGAAATTTGAGTACCCTCGAGATGATCAACATTTCACCTTCAGAAAAAGTTCATGACGCTAACCCAAAATGAACCTGGGACCTGTTTCTCCAGACCACTTGTCAGGCCAGAAAAGCGATTCGAGTTCGACGCATATCACTACGGAACATAAAATCGATCGACGATCACCTGAATTTGAAAGCAAAGAAACAGAGCAAACAACGTTCGAAAGGTGAAATGAAGTTCACCATAGCCTGGCAAACCTAAGAACAGAGTTTTAGTGCCTGAATCACTTAACGCGTATTTTGCTTACTGAAAATACATCAGACACGTGCACGTTGATCATCTGCACCATGATCAGACCATGCAAATGCATAGTTTGGAGAAAATCTGTCCGTGATAACCAGATTCACACTCTGTCGTTATGGATATGGATCAAATATTTTTTTTCGTAGGCCTGTGTGCACCAGTAGGTACTGAGATATATGGCCATTCATTTTAAAGGTGAGGAAAAATGCAAGAAGTTAGCGCTTAATTTAAGATGAAAAATATTCCGTCACAAGCAAGACTTTCCAATTAAATTTAGTCATGGCATCACTATAGGTATGCCAAACTCTGATATACCTAAACAAACTTTTGTAGTTTTAAGACTGATATTTTAGATATTTATGACTTAAAACCTTGAAGCGTCTTTTTCGGGCCACCCGATATGTAAATACACACCTACTTACTGGTGTATTATAATAAAGCGATACACTTCTTAGATCTAGTTAAAGATAAAACCAGAGGCTGCATCAGCTAAAGAAATAACCCTCGATACCCGTATTGGCCTTTTTACAGCGTCTAACGTGCGGGGGAGGGGGAGGGGGTCGTTGGACACTGCCGTCCGTCCCCTGATCGAGCTAGAGCTGCGCGGAAAAAGAGAGTGTGCTGCCCGCGACGGACGTCAGGAGGCGGACGATACCCAAATTTAAGGGTATAGGTCACTGGTTGATTTTTCAGGCCAGGTAAATGACCCATAAGTCGAAAAAATCGAAATCTGGTTGAAGTTTGTAAAAAAAGTTTGTTAAAAATGTTTGTAAAAAAAAAAACTGGAAATGTTAGAGGCGTTTACGATTTTGTAGTTTTTCTAGCTACAATTGCGTGACAAGACGTCACTAAAACGTCATTTTCTTAAAAATAACAACGGATTTCGTTCAAATGTTCAGGCAAATGTTTTGCCTGTCCCGTAGCTCAGTTGGTAGAGCATCGGTAGTGAGAGCCCGGGTTCGAGACGCTCCGGCGCTCGATATTTGAGACTCCTGACGGGGATGGTCTGCGGTTGGTGGGAGCAGCCGCAGCCAGTTGAAGTCAGTTGAGTGGGACAGGCCGTGTCCGGCTTTGAAGGGCACGTTAAAATTTGGCATCTAAATTCTCCCGTTACCCGGAATTGCGCGATCGGACGGTAGGGGTCGGGGTCTACGCAACAAGCTCTGCTTAGTGTGGGCTCCGGCTCTGTCAATCCGTCCATTCAAACATTCGAGCTAAATTTATTTAAAAAAAAGGTCAAACTGGTGAACATATGATACCTAAGGTACTGAAAGTCTGACGTTGCGCACTTAACGCCCTTAGAAACTATACTGGCGAAACGCGAGATGCGGGGCAGATTCCACGGCTCCCTCCTCCAGTGGGGCGAGGTTTAATCACCAGGCTGGGTGAAATTTCCATATAAGCGTCACCAAATGAGGATCGCTTAAGCTGTCAGCGACTGGGTGACCAGATGGAGTTTGGTATGCACACTATGCATGGAAGGCATGTCTCCGACTTTCGATAAATGCCACCTAGCGCTCAGGCTCAGTTTCAATATTCACCGTCGGTCACCGTCTCACGCACCCGGCGCGTCCACAGGCGCGGAGCTGAGCGGCAGAGCGGCGGAGCTGAGCGGCAGAGCGGCGGAGCTGAGCGGCGGAGCTGAGCGGCAGAGCGGCGGAGCTGAGCGGCGGCGCAGAGCGACAGAGCGGCCATGGGCGACAAAGGCTTCTCGCGGCAGCAGTGGGTGACGCTGTTCGTCTTCAGCCTGGCCGACTTTTGCTCGGCGGTCTGCGTGTCACTACAGGCGCCCTTCTACCCACACGAGGTGACTACCGCTGACTGAGTACCGGACACCGCTGACTGAGTACCGCTGAGTACCGCTGACTGAGTGCCGCTGACTGAGTACCGCTGACTGAGTACCGCTGACTGAGTACCGCTGACTGACTACCGGTGACTGAGTACCGCTGAATGAGTACCGCTGACTGAGTACCGCTGACTGAGTACCGCTGACTGAGTACCACTGACTGAGTACCGGTGACTGAGTACCGCTGACTGAGTACCGCTGACTGACTACCGCTGACTGACTACCGCTGACTGACTACCGCTGACTAAGTACCGCTGACTGAGTAGCGCTGACTGAGTACCGGACACCGCTGACTGACTACCGGACACCGCTGACTGAGTACCGCTGACTGAGTACCGCTGACTGACTACCGGTGACTGAGTACCGCTGACTGACTACCGGTGACTGAGTACCGCTGACTGACTACCGCTGACTGAGTACCAGTAACTGAGTACCGCTGACTGACTACCGGTGACTGAGTACCGCTGACTGAGTGCCGGACACCGCTGACAGAGTACCGGTGACTGAGTACCGCTGACTGAGTACCGGACACCGCTGACTGAGTACCGCTGACTGACTACCGCTGACTGAGTACCGGACACCGCTGACTGAGTACCGGACACCGCTGACTGAGTACCGGACACCGCTGACTGAGTACCGCTGACTGAGTACCGCTGACTGACTACCGCTGACTGACAACCGCTGACTGACTACCGCTGACTGAGTACCGCTGACAGAGTACCGCTGACTGAGTACCGGTGACTGAGTACCGCTGACTGAGTACCGGTGACTGACTATACCGGTGACTGACTACCGGTGACTGAGAACCGCTGACTGAGTACCGCTAACTGAGTACCGCTGACTGAGTACCGGACACCGCTGACTGACTATACCGGTGACTGACTATACCGGTGACTGACTACCGGTGACTGAGTACCGCTGACTGAGTACCGCTGACTGAGTACCGGACACCGCTGACTGAGTACCGCTGACTGACTACCGGTGACTGACTACCGCTGACTGTCACTGACAGCCACTGACTTACTAAAGATGTCAATCGGATACCGATATCGAACAAATTGGTATTTAGTATTTCAATCTTGTTTTAGGTGCATAATAGGTGCAGATTTGACGTATGTTTGGCCAAATTAGGTTCATTGTGTTACTTAAAAATTGTTCGTTTGGGTTGCACAGATGCTTATAGACCTCATTTTTCAAATTATCAGTTATCATTTTTGATTAAAACACTGAACTTATGTAATTCATGCTATGAAGATGTTTGCTATAAAAGAGATTTGGTGCAGATTTGGTCAAATAAGATGCATTCGTCAGGTGTCCCATCGTGAGAACGGCTATTGTGAAAGCTCACTAATGTATTAAGCTGGCATCCGCTGGTTAAGCCCTGCTTCAGCGCGCTCAGCACCTAATACGCGCTGAAAAGTTGATCTATTTCAACCCGTCAGCGCGCGCGATGGGCGCCGAGCCGCCGCCGAACCATCAGCTGCTCGTGCTTTTCAGCTTCATCGCGCAGTCAGCGCCCTCAGCCCATAGCCTCCAAAGCTACACGTATTTTCAGAGCGCAAATGTGCGCGCCACGGGGACGGCGACCTTAAAGGTAGTGTGCCACCTTCCAATGATTTCCCATTTTATTTTTCCTAAGATAAGAAGCTTCTGTTTTTACCTAATATAGCAAAAAAATCAAAAATGGGCCTGAAATAGTGCCTTTTTCGCCTAAAAGTTTATCGGTTTTTCGATATGTATAATAACTGTAGTGGGCTGATCTGCAAACAGGCGTCGGCAACAATCGCGAATGCGGCGCACATGTGACAATAAGCAAAGGTCATTATAGAGTTACGATGTACGGGAATGAGTTATCAGCTGTCTAATCGTAGACAACACAATGTCGAACCTTAAATTGTAAGCCTGTATTGGTATTGTTTCTTTTATTTGGCTGTCGAACATTATTTATGGTTTGAAATATGATTTTATGTAAAATAATTGATATGAAAAAGCCGTCTCTTAAGTTATGACCCCATTTCACCACACGCAAGTGACAGAAATGACAATGATCAGCTGACGCATTTTTCTTGGCCGAAGACAGAGCGCGCGGCCCGACGCACCACCACCGCACCACAAAGTATATGAGCAGAAGCCGCGCCGCGCCCAAAGCCAGGGCCCCGGTAACGTGAGGTAGCCGAGTCGGGGCAGCGTGCGCTGACCCAAGCCGGGGTCGCGGCTTTGGGCGCGGTCTACCGCATCCCCGGGCATCCCCGGGCTATCACATGACACCGGGAGGACGCGCGGCCCTGGCTTGGGTCAGCGCACGCTGCTCCGACTCGGCTACCTCACGTTACCGGGGCCCTGGCTTTGGGCGCGGTCTACCGCACCACCTAACAGGCGTGTTCGAAACCGCAGGAGATGATGATGAACGGGTTTATCGAAACTCGATTGGATGAGCCTATCGGTAATAGCGATTTCAGTGTGTGCATTTATTGTTCATAGTGGTGTGAAATGTGGTTGGGGTACGACCGACAATCCGTCGGGGCGAATTTCGCACTGGGGTACTCAAAATTTGAAGAATTTAAGACGTTTCCATGAGTTTTGAAGGTATGGATAAGTTCTAAAAATCCGGTTCTCCTTATCTGGGCCATTAACTCCATACGGTCCAGGAAAGCTGGCACACTACCTTTAAGTCGCAGCTCTCAGACCCGGTGTCACTGGTCTGACCCGGTGTCGCTGTGACCCGGTGTCACTGGTCTGACCCGGTGTCACTGTGACCCGGTGTCGCTGGTCTGACCGGGTGTCTCTGTGACCCGGTGTCGCTGGTCTGACCCGGTGTCACTGGTCTGACCCGGTGTAACTGTGACCCGGTGTCTCTGTGACCCGGTGTCGCTGTGACCCGGTGTCTCTGTGACCCGGTGTCGCTGTGACCCGGTGTCGCTGGTCTGACCCGGACCCGGTGTCACTGGTCTGACCCGGTGTCGCTGGTCTGACCCCGTGTCACTGGTCTGACCCGGAGTCGCTGGTCTGACCCGGAGTGGCTGGTCTGACCCGGAGTGGCTGGTCTGACCCGGAGTCGCTGGTCTGACCCGGTGTCGCTGGTCTGACCCGGTGTCACTGGTCTGACCCCGTGTCGCTGGTCGCTGGCAGGCCGAGAAGAAGGGCGCCACGGCCACCCAGTACGGGTTCGTGTTCGGTGTGTTCGAGCTGACGGTGTTCATCGTCAGCCCCATCTACGGAAAATACGTGAGTGAGCCTCGTCCTCCCTGCGCCGCGCGGCAGCTCTCAAAGCAGCTAGCACATCATCGGCAGTGGAGTTAACGTAAGCTTTCTTTGGCTTTTCACAGAAAACGTTAACCTATCTCAGAGTCGACTTGACAATAATTTTAGCTCATCTTATTTCAATGGTGCAATCAGGTCATTTTTTCCTATTAAATTGCATTATGTGAAAGCTTCCTCACCCTTGCTGTGAGCAATGAATGTTTGGCGATGAACTTAAGATGGTGATGCTCATTGTTATAAGTATTGAAGTAGTGTGTTTTAAACACTAATCCCCACTCGCTCGTTCTCCACAGTTGAACAAATTGGGACCAAAGTTTGTCTTCAATGCCGGTATATTTACTACAGCGTCCTGCTCGATATTGTTCGGGTGAGTAGGGAGAACGGGGTCAATTGTAACATTTTTTGCATTTTATCATCTGGTGCAAATACGTTTGCAGCTATAAAGCTCTTTCTTTTATTTTCAGAAACTATGATGTTTTGTCTTTAAAATGCAGTTAAGACATTTCCGAAATAACTTCTTTTTTGGGTCAAAATTGTTGTTCGAAAAAGTCAATTCAGCTGTTACAATTCACCCCAGATACGGGGTCAAAAGTAACACCACCCGGGGACAATTGTAACATGTTCATTTACAGGCTACAGCAACACAATTTTTTTCCAAAACTTTGATTTAACAAAAGTATTGAACACTTGTTCATCTTCCCAGACTTGGTAGGGACGGTTCTTCTCAGGAAAAAGGCATAAAACCTCGCACTTATACAGGGGTTGGATGGACCTCCTCTCCCTTGGTTTTTCGCAAATAAATCGCGTAAAAAGCTGCCGATTGCGACAAAACTTACAGTTCTCTTAATTCTAGCAATGTTTCATCTCCCTTGAAAATTTGACGACTTTGACATAATGGCCACTGACCTATAACCTGTTACATTTGACCCCTGCAAAAATGTTACAATTGTCCCCGTCGCGCCTTGACATATTTTAGACGAAACTGGTGCAAAAAGATGTTGCATGTAGGGCTAGGCAGCATTTCATGCTTTCAATTTATCGACAACAAGCCTGCCAACGCTTACACAAAGTCTGAAGTCGATATCTTTTCAATCGCGGGAATGAGCTTATCAAATATAACGGCATGAAAATCTACAAAATGCTCTCAAAAACACATTACTGTGCACAGCCATCGACATACCCGGCACTTTCGCTTCAAACTCCGTTGGGAAAGGCTGCATAGAATTACGCATTTTCGGTCTGAACATCAGCTCATTCTATTGGTAAGTTTATGAATTATTAGCACTGTTACAATTGCCCCGTGTTACATTTGACCCCGCTCTCCCCTATCTCCACAAAACCCACACAACTTCCCGACCTCAAACCGTTGTCAACCTGCGCCACGCTAGCGCACCCTGTCACCGCAGAGGGACGGGGGAGGGGCATCCCACCCCTGAGATCTCAGAGAGCTACCAACCTATTGTCACAATACACAATTTTGAAGCTAGTGTTTAGACCTAACAAGGTGTCTATCTGATGCAGTTTTTCACGGCAAATCGAATGGTTTTATTTTTGTTCCCCTACGAGGTCTAGAATTTCCAAAAATAAATTTATCAAAAAATTGTGAGTCGGGACGTCATAAAAGTTTGAATAACTCCCACATTTTTGAACCGATTATTCTAAAAACTGGTATGTAGGTGTACATAGACCACTTTTCTGACAAAGAATATTCCGTTTTTTTTTATATATATTCAAAATTTTGGATTTCATAATTATTTCTAAAAAAGTCAGCTTTTTGAAAAATTTGAGCCAAAATCCAGAATTTTCAAAACCCGAGATAGCCATTTGATAGACAAGGTAAAATCACATCTACCCTTTTTGTTACGTCTTGAATCCTTTAAAAATGAAGATGTTAGCGGCGTTTCAAGTTCAGCCGTTTTTTAGGCGAAAATGGCGTTTAAACATCATTTTCTTAAAAAAAAAAATCCGACGGATTTCGCTCAAATTTTCAGGGAACTTGTTAAATTGATGTATAATAAGGTACTGAAAGTTTGACGTCGCTGGCGTATCGCGTTTAGAAGTAATTAGCGAAAAACGGGAAGGGGCAGATTCTGCCCAGCGGGCGCGGGTTAAGGTCCATCAATTACCTACCTCTGACGGATGAAGGTTTACTAATCTATTTGTTCAGCTGTTTTCACGACAGATATCTGACACACATTTGGATCACATTTGGTGCGATTTGGTCAAATTAGGTTCATAGCTGATTTTAAGCAGTTTAACAGCAGTTTGCACAAGTTGCTTATTTGCCGGCAGCACAGTCGGTAGTAACCGTTGGGGGGGGGGGGTATAGGGGATTAGCAAAGTCCATCGGTGCCGGGGGCGGAAGGGGAATGTGCCATAACCTAATATTACCAGGCTATAATGCATTATTCGATAGCAGGCGTTTTTACGACAGAGTATCTGGCTGATGCCGAACTTTGAACAAATCTGCACCAAACTGCAATTTCTTAAGATCTGCTATTCACAAAATTCGCTGTACATGCATGCATACACAATAGATTTATTTCCATGTAAGACAATAGCGTTTAACAATCTGATAGATCCGGCAAATAGGTGGTGTTGCCCTTCCCCCTCCTCCCCCGTACCGCCGGACTGCCGCCACCCCGAGTGGTGCTATATACCGACTCCACCCGTCGTGGTGCGATGGCTTTTTGTATAAGATAAACACAGCTTGTGCATGGACCTCTGCCCTCGGGAGCCGGTGGGATGGTATGGTATGGTATGGTATGTAGACCCGTGTGCTGCTCTCGGGATCCGGTGATGTGGTATGGTATGGTAGGTATGGTAGCGCCGTGAGCTGCTCTCGGGAGCCGGTGGGATGGTATGGTATGGTAGCGCCGTGAGCTGCTCTCGGGAGCCGGTGGGATGGTATGGTATGGTATGGTACACTGAAAAATTTTTTTACTCAGGCCAGGCATTACTCAGTAATAACTCATGAAGAAACTTAGTGAATACGATAGTGGTGCTCACTCATTGGCTGATCTAACTCACATCACCAGGGTGACTTCGTTATGCGTGAGTTCTGAGTGCTTAGTTTCGTGAATTCGAACTGAGTCGGAAATGAGTTTTGCTTGGGCAAATCTAGTCGACCCCCACCGGACACGATTTGGTAGCCGAGGTCTGTGACGTCAGCCGGGCGTGAAGTTTTCCCTTCACCATAGGCTTCACACACAAACCGGCCGAAGTTCATGCCAGGATAGCCCGGCTTGAAAGTGCAAAAATGATTAAATTTTGCCCTCAATAGATTCATTGCTTCATTTCATAACTAAAAACGTCCGTTATTAGGACTCAATGAAGGTAAAAAGTACTCAAAATCGAAGTTTAAGAAAATGCTGTCCGAGCACAATCTGGTAACATCACGTGACCTCTTTTAAGCAGAATGTATATAATTCAAGGATGTTATTACACGATTGCTGCCTAAAACATCATAAATAATACGCTTGTAACATTTATTGCTTCTGTTTAAGTCATAACATTGCAAAACGCAAAGTTTATCATGGAAGTCACGTGACCAAAGGTATAGCAAGGGTTGGGACAAGCACTCAAAGGATTTCAAGTTTTTTAATTAAATTATATAAGTTTCATGATGAAATTGATAGAATGTATTTTTTCCTAATGAAATACAAATTTTCGTATGTAAAATATTTTCCTTATGGGCGAAATTCTCCATATAAGAAATGTCAGTGACGTCACCAGGGCTTTACTGGGCTTTACTCAAAACATCGGACCTACCTGTTTCTTATAGGTATCTTGAATCTAGTTTCCTGCGCAATGCATGAGTTCTCGCGAATTCACGTGCAGTTGTGCGTGAGGTACCCCCGGCTTGAAGATGCGCGCATGCGCGGCAGGGTGAGTTTCCTGCGTGATGCGTGAGTTCGCGTGATGAGTATTATAGCCGTTGCGTTCGAAAACCGCGGCGCGCGCTTCAGTCCGTTGTGGCGCGGTGACTCGCGTAGTTCACGTTGAATTGTTGAGGCTATTGTGAAATTGTGCAGGAGAGTGCAGGAGCGGGGATTGGGGAAGGCGTGCAGCGAAGGATGGGTAGGTTATCTGTGAAGAACTCGGTGATTGTCGATGAAGCTTTTATCAATCGCATGCGCCGCGGAGAACAGAAAGGTGAACTGATGGACCAGCTCAGACATTCCCCGCCGGCGTCAGGAGGTCGGTGCCAACCGTGAACGGCGGAGCAGATCGATCGAGAAACTGAGGGATACATTACCTACCCGGCATAGTTCGAGAAAGAAGAGGTGAGTTATGCTATATTTAAATTGAAAAAAAAATGTTTGTGGGATAATGTTGTCCTTATCCTAAAAGAACGTTCATTTGACCCTTTTTACTTCTTTAAACAAGAACTCCGTCACGACCCGATGTTTTTTTTTGGGGGGGGGGGGGGCGAAGGTTGTTTGAAGTCGATTCTTTCCATGCAGCACCCATAGGCACAATGTTAAAAATGTAAAATATTGGGGGACACGTCCCCCGTACCCTTCCCTCCCGGTGGTGGAGCCCATGGTCTTAATTCCGCTCGCTGAACCGTTTAAGATTCTTTTGTCTCGTTTGTGCTTATTATTTTTCCGACTGTTATTATTTTTTCCCGACTGTTTTTTTTTTTAATGCCTACACACATATTTTCGTACACTATTCGATTTCAGCGAGCATTTTCAACCTTTCTTACATATTAGATTATTAGATACCGCGGCGAGACGCGTTTGAACGTGACATAATTAACCCATGAATAATTAAAAACGTGACATAGTTATTTCCATTACTGTTAAGTGTAACACATTTTATGTGATTGTTTCAAGCTGATTTTAATATTGGACGCCCATGGAAGTGTTTTGCGAGACTAAAACCCGTCTGTTAAGGTGACCATCCCACCTTGACCCGCGCTGTGCTGGGCCCTCCCCCCCCCCCCCGCCCCCTCAGGTTTTTCGCGAATATCTAAGAACGGCGGCGCGCAGCGCCACCATTTTCGGCACACCTGCTCATACATTTTTTCTGCATATGAAGAAATTTTAGACCCAGGTCGTTCAAGGTCAGGTCACGTCAAATGACTTAACATCAGAAAAATTTCAATGGTCGCTGACGATCGCACCGTTCGCAACGTGCCATGGAAACCGTTCGATATTTTTGTCATTTTCGCTCAGGGAATTCACCGCTCGATTTCACACCAGTTTGAGGTAAAATGTCAACAACAACAAAAAATATCGAACGGATTTCATTTTATAGCGTTTTTGATACTGTCCCATCACCCATGTCTCAAGTATCAACCTTACGGCATGTATAAAATATATTTGCTAGTGCAATAAAACACCTCATATGAGTTCAGCT